TATTTCTAAACATGTGAGGTGGTAAAAGTAATAAGAAAAGCTAATATTATGGAAAAATCTCGTATTTTTCTTTCATATGCAAAATATGAGTTTGTAAACATTTTCCAAGTAGTTTTTTTTAATTTTTTATCTTAAAAAATGGCGTAAAAAGCCTTCAATACATACAGTTTTATAGAGCTCGACGAGCTCTATCGAATTATGTAAAAATATTCAAGAAAAAACATTTTTATTCTATTTTTGAATTATTAACATTTTAGTTTTCTATGCGAAAAAAATATGAAATTTCTCGAAATTTCTTAAGTTCGACATTATAAAGTTCACAAAACCCTTACTATTTAGTACCAATAAATGCCACTTTTGACGAGCTTTCATTTGGTATAAAATTCATTATATACTTCTCCCTGAAATAATATTATTTCCTATGGGGTATCATGTCAACTGGACACGCCTATATATTCTTTCTATTGTCCGTCGAACTTTATATATTCTGAAAAAACCTCGAAATAGTTCGAAATCTATGCAACCATTTATATATATTACTTTCACAGAACGTGCAATAGTTCGATGAACTTCTTAAACATAGAACAATTTTTATCGCATACCTTTACATATTACTAAATGTTTGGTTTCCTTTGAATTATTTCTGAGATCTGCGTTACTTGAAATTTAATTAAACGAATTTTTAGTTATGTCAATCTTCTTATCATTTCGTAACAAATGACTTATTATAGTTGAATTTTGTTAACATAAAAACCTATATCAAATTTAAAATTCATATGAGTTTTTTAAATTTGATATACGCTCTTTGAGAGCAATATCAGAGTAAGCTGTCATTTGTTATAAGATAGTAATAAACCAGTCCGACAAGGCCTTAGTAAAACGCGTATTTTTCTGAACAAATTTTAATATCTTCAAAAACCGCTCGTTTTTGCTCGTTCTTTTCAAAGTAATTCAACGTATGTAGACGCAGAATCTTTAGTTCAATTACCTATATTTATACAGAAACACCTGATGGGAGACTTATTATTTATAGACTGGCAAGTCATTTTTTTAACAATCATACAGAATAAGACGTTCTCAAAACTGTCCGACTATTTTTTTTTGTTTTTACTGATGTACGAGTTGATGCCTGCTGCTTCTTCTTCTATTTGTTTAATTCGTTTACATATTATTTTTCTCAAAGTTCAAAATATGATTTCTATGTTGTTTTAAATGAAGGTAAATACAAGTTTGTAAAGAATTCAATTATGCATCTATCAAAAACAAATTCTGACTATCTAATTAAGATCCACACCCTCTAAATTACGTATAAAATCTGCATATCCATATGTTATTCTATGGTGAGCTTCGATTGGATTAGTATTTCTCTTCCCAGCATTTCAAAATTACAAGTCACCAGCAGAAGTACCTGGCATTGCCCGGACAAGTTCAGTCTTAATATATGCAAGGACAACTCCTATTGCGCTAGAGAACATGTCACAAAACCTAATCAGTAGGGAGTAGACACGCATAAAACTCTATTTTTTGTTCCGGGCCTGGTTATGGCTCTCGGACGTATTTTAAGTCCCAGCCACGGCTACTCTCGCTCTCGGCGGATGTGAAATATTGACATTGAAAAATTGATCAGAATTGAAGGATTCTTCGTCCTTACATGTCTAGATCAAGAAGAACCTGATGAAACTTATGAGTTCTATCGACTTTTTGCCTTGACCAAGCATTTATAAAAGTATATACCCATCTCGATCGATCCCGATTCCGACTGACCCCGGTCGTACTTGGTCACGTTCCCGGTTCCAGAGCTGTATGGTTGTGTTTCTAATGGGGAACCCACATGGCCAATCGATTCTTCGACAGCGTTGCAAGAAAAATCCGTTTTAATCGAAACTAAGCACGACAACACATCTAATTGATCTAGAACATCGCATTTTGTAGTACTGAAATCACACTGAATTCCGATTGATTACAAAGAAAGACAGACAGAAAGATTTTTCTGGGACAGATCCTTTAACAATCTAAGGAGTCGATATCTATGACGCACAAATTTTCGGCGTCATAGACTATTTATTCGAAATCCCTTCCTCACGCGACCTCCAGGGATCAACTTCCTCAAAAGCTGGTTTTGTGTATGACATGGGTCACCCTTGATATTCCTTTTCCAAAAAACTCGATTCCTATTGGTTTCGGGCCGTCCGATCAGATTTTGAGGTGACTGGATCACTAATTCGAACTCATCGCCCTCGAAAACTTGTGGTTTCATGTTTTCTGCGTGTTCACGAAGTGCTACTCAATAGTACTTCTATAGTACCGAATACTGCAATCTGATTGGTCAGCAACATAGGTATGCTTTTTGTGGGCGAAAGACCAATTCTTTTTGAACAAACAAATAGGTGTTGACCTTCTCCTGGATGAGAGGAGAATTCTTAGGAAGTTTGATTGCATTCGCTCGTACAGTGTGGAAATGCATAAAGAACAGACGGACAGATAGATATTCTTCTTTACATATAGGATCAAATTCTATAGATCCGTCTGAATTGTCCTATGACGTGAAAAGCATCCTCAAAGTTCTCCAACACCAGAGGTTAGATTTAACATCTTCCTAACAAGATACAAATAGAATCTTCTCAGAATTTTTTCAGTTTAGAAGTTTTACATAGTTCTTCTTGTCTGATATTTATGTACATGATCATCCGACAAAAAGATTCTGCATTCTCGCGATTACGAATAAAATCCTCAGATCTCTGTTTTTCTATTAAAACCTTGCATGGAATTACCATTACTCTTTCTCGGACAAACCTCCTTACAGCAATCTCCAGATGATGTTTTTAGGACCAAAGGGATCTTGACAAGAACTAAAAGTGGCATAGATGTAAGAACCGTCACGAAATCCTTTTTTTTCATAGGAAACTAGGAAAAGACTTCTGAAGTTTTATTTCTGGAACGAGCATTCTCAAAGACGAATGTCGTATTTATAGCACTTGCTCCCATGAGAGACGAGCTCCTTTCGACAACGATGATTTCTTTTCTTTTTCGTTCATTGTAGTAATTCCCAATATTCCAGTTGATGCCCGTTGGGTACAGAATGGAGTGACTGTTGCTGGAGGCCATGGAAAAGGCAGTGCCACCAATGAATTCAACTGCCCTCAGGGGCTCTTCATTGATGATGATCAAACGATGGTTATTGCTGACCACCAGAATCATCGTATCATCCAATGGAAGATGGGTGATACGAATGGACAAGTAGTAGCTGGTGGCAATGGCCAAGGAAATCGATTGCACCAATTGGATCGACCAACTGAGGTGTTGATCGACAAAGAGACGGATAGTCTCATTATTTGTGATACTGGACGAGTCGTACGATGGTCTCGTCGTAGTGGCACTACTCAAGGAGAAATCCTTATCAACAACATCAAGAGTTGCGGATTGGCCATGGATGATCAGAGATATCTCTACATCTCTGACATCGACAAACATGAAGTAAGACGATATCAAATAGGAGACAAGAATGGAACTCTTGTGGCTGGTGGCAATGGCAAAGGTGCTCGTCTCAATCAACTCAACTGGCCGGCCTGTATGTTTGTCGATCAACAACAGACTGTCTATGTGTCAGACTGTGACAATTATCGTGTAATGAAATGGAATAAAGGTGCAAAAGAAGGAATTGTCGTCGCTGGAGGTCAAGGCAATGGGAATGCTCTGACACAATTATCTTACCCTCGAGGACTGTTCGTCGATACGTTGGGTACCATTTATGTAGCAGATCCGTCGAATTATCGAGTGATGCGTTGGCCTAAAGGAGCGAAACGGGGCACTGTCATTGTGGGTGGAAATGGCGAAGGGAAAGGAGCAAAGCAGTTCAACTATCTCCGAGGTTTGTCCTTCGATCGTCATGGCAATCTCTATGTCGTCGATTGTAGCAATCATCGTGTTCAACGCTTTTCTCTAAAAACCACTGACCAACGTAATTCTTCTTTTTGCGCTCAACAATAAAATTTTGATCAATGAAAAATGAATGTCTATTCTATTCGCGCGCGCGCGACCAGGAACCATTCTGGTGGAGCCGTGGCGACCGTAATGCTCATGTACGCACGGGTCAGACTCAAATCATTCATATCCCTTCCACTCGAGAGATATGCCAATGAATCTGAATAAGCCTGGTCGTGTGCCACGGACACCAAGACAGTTCCTAGCCGAGCTTTTTAAGGACTACCCGGAAGTCCTTCATAAAAGACAAAACCTCAACCCTCAACGGACAGAACTCACCCTCATCTTCCACTAACACTCACTTTCGTTAGTCTCACTCTAGCTTTCCTCAATCTCAATGGCACTATCTATTCTCAATTTTTCCTCTTGCTCTATTCTCATCTCAAAAAAAAGAAACAATTACTCACGTGCTTTGATGTTGGACGATGTTGCTCATGTTGAACGATGATAAAGACGACAAGATGATGTTGAGAACTAAAAGGAAAAGAAAAATATTTAATTAATGTTATATTATGAAAAAGAATCAGTTGACTTACCCCATTGTTATCCTTTCTTTTCACTTTTGAATACCATAAATGAAAAAAATTATACATATAAAAGAAAATTTACTTACTTTTAATATATAATAGCTAAAATAGAAAAAAACAAAACATAAAATAGATCAATGGGAGGCTTACCATCCTCCATATGATCCACAAGAAAAAAAAGAAAAAGGAAAAAAACTAATATTTGTACCTACATTTTTATTTATTGATTTGTTTGTTTTGTTATGTATCATCGATATTGATCTAAAACATAAAGAAACATTTTTATTATTTGATTCAATAAACCGAATGATTTTACATAGAAAATCATTCGTATATATACTCCCGAAAAAGTTATTGGGAGAAAAATTCAGTTATTTTTTTTTCAATGTGTGATTAATAGACGTATATAATTAAGCTTTAATCTAGACACACACATATATATTGAGATAAATTCATTCACAAATATCTCAATGTATATGTGTGGATAAAGCTTAATTTTTTCACACATTAATTTAACATATTATCATTGATCATTAATGATAACATGAACAATGACTTATGGGCGAGAGAAGAAAAAAAAAAAATTTCTCGCTTGACCTATTTCTTTTTTCTTTCCTCTCTCTCTCACATGTTCAGTGGATATACAGAGTAGACGAACATACATTCACATGTAAGGTATGTTGTCATATGATATGTTGTTTTTATTTTAAATATATTTCTTTTTTTTATTTGAAGGAATTACATATTTTGTTTCACCGATTCTGCTTGTTCAAATCAGCGATACCTATCATTGAATCGAGGGCGGGTGTGGGTGTGTAAGTATGGATGTTTGAAAAGAGATGCCCACACCCACACCCTCATATATCATAGAAAAATAGAGTATTATTTTTACTATTTCTGCCTATAAAAAAAAAGAGTCTTCTAAAGCTTACTATACGATATTAAAGCATTACTGCCACTTTTTTTGAACTGCTGTTAGTATAGCATATTTTTTGTTTTATTTATTAGCTTCCAACATTGAATCTTTTACAATCAGATCAATCATTATTAACTACTAATCAATGGACACTTCTCACAAATTTATTTCATCGTTATAAAGAATCTCAGATTTTACCACTTTGTGAACGTTTAATAGATACACACGATGCTTCACAATCGAATTATGCGATTTACAAAGTACTTTTAGAAGAATTCTTAGTATCTCTTTACGAAACAGCAGGATTATACCTTCGTTCCAATGATGATTTTCGTAAACTATCATCGGATGATCGTTCCATAATACTTCGTAATGCTGCTGACAATGTGTGCTGCATGAGTGGTACATTCGTTATGCAATATTTCTATTTATATGGTCGCGATGCTAAACGCTATGAGTGTAAAGTATGGAAAACGTACAATGGATATTCATGTTTGGGCAAGAAAGTTTATTGATCCCGATATTGTATTGGCCAAACTGTCAATTTCATTGTTTGCTTTCTCTGAAAATACTTGTTGTTATTATTCAAATATATCGAAAGATTTAACAAATCCTATTAATGTTTTAGAGATTCAAAATAAGTATGCAGAAGTAATATGGAAATATCTTCTCTACAAATATGGTCATTATGACGCTGTAAAACGATATCTTAATATAATACTTTGGCTTATTTCTATGAGTATGTTAACATTTCATGCTCAAACTCTGAAACCACATATTAATGATCTTCATTCAATTATTGAACAAACTGAACTAACACTTATATTAGATGATGTTGAGCCAATAATTGAAATAAATTAGTATGATTAGAATTTGTATTTAAAAAAAAATAAAGACATCTACGAACTACTTAAAAAAATGATCTAAATGTATATATATATTGGAAATAAAATTGTTCAATTTATTTTCGAAATCCTAATCCAAAAAGTATTGATCAATCTCATTAGTATTTATAGTATGTAATGTCTCAGCACACTTAACATGATTGATCATTTTTGAAAAGAAAAACATGCCACTAACTAATGAATTTAATTTTCTACAAAACTATCCACACTGGACTATCTAGTGAACATTAGGTAAAAAGTTGAAAACCTATTTTTGTAAGATTCTAACAGCGCTACACATACTTCGGATTATCGAGTATTCAATGGCGTTAAAATTTTTGTTACAAAATTAGAATAGAGTGAAAGATCAACTCATTAAAAATTAGCCTGATAATAGTACCATCTATGCCATTCACATTTTTTTTACAGAATCCATTGAAGTGGTAACCGAAAACAATACATACTATAAATTTGCATAATATCAGCTATCGATTATTAAAAATAAGTATTCAATTATTACTGATCTTTCTAGAGAAAAAAATTTTCTCTTTTCTTCTTTGTAATTTTTCATACGATTCTATAAGTAAAATGAGCGCCCCTTCACAGCCTAATTCGACACTGATTCAAGCTTTTCCAGAACGTTCTCTCATATTTTATCTATCACTGTAATCATCATAAATGTTCCTGAATTTTACATAGGAGACTTTTTAAAAACCCATAGTTTTGAGGTATTTTCTATTTTTCTCGACTCAGAAACGTTTCTGTTCCATAAAAAGATCATATTCAGAATCAGCACGAGAAACTGCATCACACCATATACAAAACAATCATATTTATAGAGAAATATTTTTCTTCAGATTTTTCACCGTGATATCTTCTTCTTTCACCTGAATCTTTCAAAAAAATTAATGTTTTCAATACAGACGATTTCTACTTTTGACTGTTTGCTCGACTTTGCGGGTAACAATCATAGAGACGAAATAAGTGTTTATTCGCAAAAAAAAAATGTCGCGTCCACATGATAAACTACAACTGCCCATTGTGCTGTCTGTCGACTTTGTTTTTCACTTAGATTTTTCGTGTAAGAGCCAAGTTAGAGAGATTAGCATCTTCTCCATCGTACAAGTGTAAAAATCAAAAAAAAAATTAAAGAGAACTTTTAGACACGGATTTGCTGAAATTTGAATTATGCTACAATATTCTACACAAAGCTCTGCAGCTTTTGGTGTAACTTTCAAAGTGTCAGAACAAATTTTTGAAATAGAAAATATCGAAATACCGAGAAAAGCTGGTTTCGGACAAATCTTTACTATTGTTTTTGATCAATTAAAAGTAGCCTATATGTTTTAACTATTTAAATGAACACATGCACCATGATATTCATAATTTAATTGTGCGTCTAATGATACGAGAATCAGCATTTTATAGGATGAGTCTGGCTTGTGATTATATAATTTTTCATAATGCATTCACAAATATCTCTAGATTTTAGTTCACAACTTTTCTCATCCTGAACAAAACACTCAAAAGCATGTGAAGATCGGGAGCATATAGAGCGAAAAATTCTCTATATTTTGTTATACAATACATAGTTTTTGGAATTGGCTTAGATGAGCACATGCTGACACAAATCATTTTTCATCGGTAGAAAAACAAGAATTTGTAGTTTAATCATTCAATAGGTTTTCATCTCATAAAGTTTATGCTTGTAATGAAAAATCTATCTAAAAACCAAACTCAACAGTTTTCTAGAGAAGCAAATTCTTTATCCAGGGAGATTAGAGTTAAAATTCGAACAAGTGCTATTCCTAAAAGATAGAAAATAAAACTGCGACATGTACTACATAACACTCATTATTTTTCAAAAACTTTTTCCAGATATTAATAGGTCTCCTAAAATTTCCCCGAGCGGTCGTTCACGCACGCGAGTAGATTCTGCACTTCTGTGTCATAGTGAGGACATTATTTCGAAATAGATCCTTGTCGATGACGACTATAAAAATAAAATTTTAACCATTTATGTTTCAGATTTCAATTATGAATAATGTACACATTCCAATGGAAGTGCTCGGCAGCGATTTGGCTATATTAATTATACAACGTCTTGAATTCGAATGCATAGGAAACGGTCCTCACCTCAAACTCCCAAGTCGAACAAGCCCGATCGTAAACGGTCGTATATGGAGAAATACGACCAAATACATGGCTCAGTATTACGATCGCAAATGTCCGTGTCGTATACGGAGAAATACGGCGATATACGATCGTAATACTGAGCCATGTATTACGGCAAAATACGACCGTAAACGATCGTATCGATGTCGTACACGGTCGTTTACAGTCGTATACGAAGTCCGTAAGCGTCGACCTGGGCTACGTCATGTTATAAGTAATCGTCGTTTGACTATACCTCGTCATAAAGTTAAACGTGGTTTAATGGCAGAAATATTACGTAATCTATGTGAAATTACTAATAAGCCACATGTGAACATTGTTAATATGTTGTTTTCATAAATTCTTTTTTTCTTTTTTTTTTGTATCAATGTTGGCTATGTGGATTTTGATATTAATTTATTTGTATATTAGATATATATAAAGATCAACAGATGGACTTTTGGGAAAATCGTCATTGTTCTGTGTTTCAAATATTCATGACGATATGTAAGGGAAGTTAGCAGCTGATTCTAGTTTTTTCAAAAGTGATTCACCCCGTTGACTAAGCCAAGTGAGGAATGCAGTGAGCCAGATGCAACTCGACGAGCTCTATCCAATGGTGTATTCAGATTTTTCACAAAACCTAACCGACAAAAATAAAACCAAAAACATTGATTTTTTCCTATAGGAAAAAAGTATTAAAAAAACTTTTTTTCCATAACGATTCGCTCTACAAGGTGAGCCACTTCTGATACTTCGCTTATTCGATGCAGCTCGACGAGCTCTATCGATTGGTATATTTTCCATCCAAATCGAAATAAAATTTCGCTGGCCAGTATTCGTAGAAAATTGAAAATCGAAATTTGTTCCCGCAGTGCATCTCATCATTTGCTCCATAAGTTGAGCCACTCGATCGACTGACCTTATTCGGTGGAACTTGAGAAGCTCTACCGATACACGTACGTCTCGCTTTAATGAAAACAAAATTTCGGTTCGTCAGATATGTGACAACCTTACAAGTGCCTCGGCCCGTATCTTTTGCAAAGATTCGCCTCACTTTCTGGGCTATCTCTAAGACTTATCTCATTAGATACAATTTCATATGCTCTATCGAATAACAGATATTCATGAGGATAAAATGAAATCATGTTTGCCTACCATATTCGTAACTTTTGCACAGATGTTTAGGTTGGCTTTCGAACATTGAAAATTACAAAAGATTTAACTCACTGCATAAGTCACTCATGTATAACTTCAGAATCGATGCGAAATTCCAGATTTTCTCGAATCGCGTACAATGCGTGCCTATAAAATTGCTTCTTACTAGTTACTTTTTGTATAATCCTCAAAACCCTATTGTCAGATTGTATTACTTGGAATAACCTTCCTCAGTACGGAAGCGACTCATGAATAATATATCAATTCATTCAAAATTCAAACGGTCCTGAAGGACTAGGAACGGAGCTACTAAAGTGATCATGTATTGTGCACATACGAAAGAAGTAAACGTATTGCAATAACGGTAGATCTGGATCAAAATATCACTGGCGATCCATTTGCATACCTAAGCCATTTATCGATTATACATCATTCAATAACGTTTGGCACTCCCATCATTAGCGTACCACTTATGACTAATTTATAGGCTAGGATGAAGTATTCAAGGTATTCCCCATCTGAAACTCTGTCGTATGTGTTGTTTCCAAGGGGGAACAAGCGTACTTCTGTACTTCAGAAGTACAGAAGTACCAAGAAGTACCAAGAAGTACCGAGAAGTACCAAGAAGTACCAAGAAGTACCAAGAAGTACGAAGAAGTACAGAGAAGTACCAAGAAGTACGAAGCAGTACAGAGAAGTACCAAGAAGTACGAAGCAGTACAGAGAAGTACCAAGAAGTACGAAGCAGTACCAAGAAGTACAAAGAAGTACAGAGAAGTACGAGGAAATATAGAGAATTGCCTAGAACTATTATGAAATATGTAAGTGCATGAATGTGCTTAGAAGCTCGTTTAAATTTATTTTCAAGGAAAAACACAATGTGAACAATAAATTTAAAACGATTGTTATCAAATTTGTGACTTGTTTGGATAACTTGAGAAAGTCGATCATTCGATAAACTCATACTTTTATCTGTTAACAGGCAACAAGCCGATTGTTTATGTATGTACTAGGTATCCCAAAAGTCATGATCACTTAAGATTTGCGTATAAGTCCATTATTAATCAAGCTTAGCCTAGTCATTTTTTTCATACTTGGAAGAGAAGACCAGTAAGTTTTGTCTCATACAGATGAAGTTCATAAATGCTCTTTGAAAATAATACCTTTTACTTCATTACAAAAGTTTAAATTTTTTTTCGGTTCAAAAAAAACATAATAGAAAGCTTTTTCTTTCTTGTATCGATTTCTTTCTTTATTTTAATCTTTAAGTGGATCCCTTCTCAGAAAAGTCAGTTTTCGTCAGAATCATTGAAATTGAGATAAATATATGGGAAGATAGCCTGTCATTTGCTCTTTCATAAACGATAAAAACTTTTCTTCGGTGCCTCATTTTTTCCAAAAACATTTTCAAGATTTTTGACAACCCCTATTCGAAAAACCAGCGGTTTTTGGAAAAACTCAAAAATCTTTTCCGTTTTTTCTCAAAATGGTGGTCGAATGACGCATCTCCAGCGAAAGTCAACTATAATCCGATATAAAGTCAAATATTTTTTTTTGTTTGAAAGAGCATCAAAAACTGCAGTGCCTATGAGAGCTCTTTTTTTTTATTAAGCTTTGCTGTCCTTATATCGATAAGCAATTTTATAATATGTGCGCCATTTTTTT